CAGATATTTGAACTTGATCTGATGGTCAAATTACAAAAGTAAATAAACCAACTTATTCTACTCGTTGTGTAGATCGTCGTGGTATATTTGGAATCTCGAAATCAATTTCGGATGAATGAGAAATTGCGGACCAAAGTTGGAAGAATTGTTGTAACTTTTCGAAAGGATGCATGTTTTGGCCAAGTGTTACAATTTTTTGAAAGGATGCATATTTTGGCCCACACTACTTCATTTACACCCTTTCTACATCTATAAATAGAATCCTATGGACATGGTTTTGGGTACACCAACTGCATCGAGCATTCATTCTCCTCTTGCAATTCCCTCATTTCTAATTCCATAGCATTTTCATGCATTTCCTTGGTAGAGAGAGAATTCCATTCGAGTTCGCTGGTCGAAATCATTTGGAGTGCCCCTATGATTTGACATAGTCATTGTATCTTGGGAGATGATTGTCGAAAAATCGTTAGCACCGATGTGGGGCAAATTCATCTTAAAGAAAGAGTTATACTCGCCTCGGCCAATCGTATCACTTATATCTAATTTTTTCTGATTTCATTTCTACTTGATTTTAGAAAATGATTAATTTTATTTATATGATTTATGCAAGATTCGATATGAAGAATCACATGTTTTAATTCAAGAATGGAAATGGTCAGATTCAATAATCATTTGCTAGTTTCTCAAACTCCATTTCGATAAGTCGAAACCTTGTTTCGATTTCGTGAACATAAACGGTATATTTTTTGTGAATATAATATGCACATAATCGGTGTATTCCCCAACATTTGTCACATTGTATATCTTAAACAATCATACTTTAATTTGAGCATAAATATAATGCTACATATTTTAAAATATATATATTCTCGTAACATGTTTAACTATACTTAAAAGTAAAGGTGTATATAAGTTTACTCACATGTAAATAAATCTTCATAAAAAATTCCTAATCAAGTTAGAACTATGTAAATTATTTTGACAGTATAGCGATATTTACTTTTAAAAATTAAAGTAACTTTTTACTCCTAAAGGAAAAAAAAATATCTAATCATATTTGAAACCAAATGTTACTCTAGCACTTATATGCGAAGTGGCATCAATCTTGGAGGATAGCAAAGTGTTTTGGCCGATCTCAAATGACATAATGCGAAACTCACCGTCAACCAATATCACCTCAGATCAAATATGAAGACTGGACTTCATAATAGTGGTAAAGATGAACACGTTTGGTTGCTAATATTTTTCATGAAAAATATATTTTTCCACCCAAATTTCTACTTTTGTGTCGTTTGATTGCCATTTTTCACGGAAATATTTTCCTACTTTTGGCCACTTGATCATATTTTTCTCAAAATCAAGAAAAATATTTTTTTTAGGGGGAATATGATTTTATTTTTCAAAGAATTCATTCTCTTTCTCTCTCTCATCATGTGAACTCTTATAATACATTAGTGATTGTATCTAGTGCAAGTGGTATAATGTAAGTATTATACTTTATGTCCAATCAACTTCGGACATAAATACTTTTAATATATAATTAATGCGATTTAATGGCAGATTTATTATTTAATTAATAGACGATTAATTAAATAATAAGATCTGTATATTCAATTTTTTGTAATTTGTTAATCACAAGGAATTGTAATTGTTTCAAATTATATATGATTGAATCTTAAATCATCTGTTGTCGTAAGTAATAACAAGATAGGGATATAGTTATTACAAATAGACTATTATGTGTGGCATTTCTTACTTGTGAAGTAAGTAGCTGGTCTTACAAAGTAAAGTGTGGTGGCACTTGAATGAACACGTGAAAGTTATAGAACAAAACATTGGAGACCCCCTAAGATATTCCGCATGGATAACTATTTGAGTGTCAGTAGTTAATCTCTAACGTTCGGTATTGAAATTGATCCTTTGACTTGAAGTCATTATCGCGCCTTATATGAGGACAGTCATACTTTGATGATGTTGGATGTTGTTCTGCCAAGGGTCGCTAATACGGCATCGTTCGAGTATGTCAAGAATCGTATGAAAGTTGTGAATGACCAATAGACGATTCACCACTCTTAGGTAGTAAGATATTATGATCTGCATTTCATTCAATTTACTCGATAACGAAATTCTTGGCCAAGGTGTACTCATAAATCGAAAATGAGTTTTCGACTTATATTGACTTAATAGTGGAGTGAAAGATATGATCAATAATCGAGATTGGCACACTTCCATATCTCGTAATTGATCGGATCATATTGATGAAAGGGTTATAGCTTCACGGTAAACGAACGAGTTTGATTTTGTCTACCATGTGACATTTCTCATCACATGTATTGCCCGGACACATTGCTAGATGTTAATTTGAGACGACGAGTGTGAATTGGTAATAAATTAAAAGAGTGTTTTAATTTATCAATTTTGATTAGATCAATTAAAAAAGTCGTTAGAAATCGTGACCGGGAACCTAATGGGTCGCACACAAAAGGAGAACTGGAAGATTGTGATTTGTCAATTAATTAATTTAACAAACGTTGGATAAATTAATTAATTGAGTTGCTTATTTATATGTCTGAATTAATTAATTGGATTTAATTAAATGGTTAATTAAATATTAAATCGGATCAGGCCAAACCCGTTTGGGCTTATATAAATAAGTGATTAGGGTTTACAATTTTGTAGAGAATTTATTATTCTTGTTAGCGCAAGAAAAATCATAATCCTACAATTTTGTTCTCTGTGTGGATCATCGTTGGAGGCTGGACAATTAGACAGTTGTGGGTGGCAAATCAAGGTTGTTGGATTAAAAAAAAGTAAAGGAGTTTGCAGATCTCGAAAAAGGTACAACTTCTATTTAAATACAAGATGAATTCAAGTGAGAATTGAAAATTGTTTTATTTCTGCTTTGCACGTTTAAGTAGATTCTCAACATGTATTTTTTTTACTCACATGTTAAATAGATTAAAAAAAAAAAAAAGAAGCAAAAATAAGCTTTACAATGTTTTACCACCATACATTATCAATGGGGACAATCATTACAAGTCGATGTTAGAGACTAGATGTTAAATTGTTGATGCTAAAAAAATTCGAGCAATGATGTTTAAACGGTTGGATTAATTTCATACGTTTCGATCGATGAATGAAATGTTTATAACATCACAAATGATTGATTCGACCCGCAAACAAATTGGGCCATTGAAAGCAACTAGTAATTTGTGTTGCTTGTTGCCCGCTCATTAGTTGGACGGCCATTTTGTGTTAAACCACTTTGTCTTTGTTGGCTCATCTAATGTTAGGCCACTTCACTTGATTTTGGCCCATTTGTGTGTTTCACCCTAACACTATATTTATCCCATTCCCTGGCAGATGTGTGATGCATATAGAAACGAGAGGCAAATAGGTTTTTTTTTTTTTTCTTTGGATTCATTAAGAAAATGGATTTATTTTTATTTTATTTATTTTTTATTTTTTGCTATTAATTGATAATAAAACTATCTAGTTTTAAAGAGTTCAAATTGAGGAGAGTATAAAATACACGAAATCTTAAGAAAACTAAGGCCTTAAACTAAAATAATGAACCTTTTAAATACATATTTGAACTAATTTTTATTCATCCATTTGAATCTTTCTTAAAAAAATATTGCAATCAATTGAATTCTTAAATCTAGGCAATTGCTTATTCATAGGCTATTATGAGTTCAAGACAAGCCGCTATGGTGAAATTGGTAGACACGTTGCTCTTAGGAAGCAGTGCTAGAGTATCTCGGTTCGAGTTCGAGTGGCGGCATGTCATTTGCTAAAAAAACTAAGTGCGTGAGTGACCTAAATTGCTACCTTTCTTCTCCATCTATGTGCAGCCACCATTCTTATCCTTTGTGGGTTAGAATTGGCAACCATAGGGAAGGACTTTGTATAGTGTTTGATTCAATTTGAGATATATTGAGACTGGTTTGCGCACATACTCGAAATTCTCGATGTATTTTCCGCGCCACTTGGAATGTTCAACTGTACATAAACTTGAAAGTTGAAACAATGCCCTCAACATAAAGTACTTCTTTTATTAAATAAAGAGGAAAATTTTCACCTAGTCATTTACAAAAATGTCCACCATTGCAAAAATGTCTATTTTGGAAGAATTTAGAGCAAAATACCCTTATTAACAATTTATAATTCCACACTAAAATAAAAAAATGGACATTTTTGCAAAATTGTTATTGGCCAATAAAATTTTGACACATAACCTATCATATTTATTTCAAAAGCATACATGTCAAATTACAATAAATGCTATATTTTTCATTGACTCAGAAATATTGAGAACTACATTTCAAATGTAAAGAAATGTCATATTCAAAATGAAATGTCATTTTAAACAAATGAAACGGTGTTCAAATGTCAAGAATGATATATGAAATGTCGAGAAACATTTTTTAATATAACTTCTCATGAAAGATACTTCTCGAAATTCGTGACAAATTGAAAAAAAAAAATCAAATGTCGAGAACGACATTCAATTGCTCCATTTTTTCATTAAGGACATGATAGACAGGTTGACACAAAATTCAAATGAGTAGACATTTTTCTACTCAAATTCTTAAAATTGGACATTCTTCAAAATGCCTCTTAAATAAAATATAAAGCCCTGAGCCCTAGTACAAATAGATTAAATACTGTACCAAAAAATTTAAATACTAGCGCCATAGGTTCGAGTAATTAATATCTCATACAATTAACAAATGTTTATCCCCGGCCACCTAATAAAGTACAGAAATGGTCCGAGTTACACCACAAAAACTAAGAATTTTTTCCTGAGCACAAGGAAATTTATAGAATTCATATTGGATTTTGAAACGGAAAAATCCCGTTCGTCTGTATTTTATGTCTTTTTTTTCATCCTTGAATAATATTTTGCCACCTGTGTCTGTGAATAATTTTTTGTGCAAAAACCTTGTACTTATAGCATAATTCCAAAAACTAAATGGAATACGCAGGTAAGATGGGAATTAATTGCAAATATGCTCACTAAAATCGAAAAGAACCTAAAATTACTTAAAAAGAATCAAGAAAAATAAATACAATACAGAAAATATGGGAATTGGGAAGGATAACCATCTTCCCCTATCTCCCATCATTTATACATACCTACTCATAAATGTACAACAACAACGGCACTCATGAGGGTGGAACATTTATTGTAGATCCATGAGATCACAGTAATATTATGGCCCTGCACCATACAATAAAATCTCCAACAAATTGCCGGTCCACCGGTGCTGTAATTACATGGTGCAAGGTGCACATAGACTATGGCATAAAGTCAATGATGATAAACGCCAAATCTTTGTCCTGCCAAATCACATCTTACTTGAGCAACACCAATCCTTGACTTCTCAAGATCAAATTCCATCCACATATTTTGTTGATGATGATGGCCTATAATGTACGACTCGATTGATAGGAGATCAGAGTTCCCAAATGTGAAGCAATGTACCGAATCATTTCCTCTAACTTCGCCAAAGACCCGATATAGCAACCTATTATCCGATACCTTAATTTCAGCTCCACGAAACATTAAACTAACCGAGGGCAATTTGGGTAGACTCGTTTGATTGAAAGGAATAAGAAAACACAAGTCAAATGCTCCTTGGAACACGAAATTCGGATCATCCAATACCCGTAAAATCGTTCTAGTTTGGTTCATAAACTCATTCTTCAAAGCCGTGTAAACCGGTCCAAGAAGAAAAGTAAACTGGGTACCTGAATCCACCATGGTTTGACCCGCCCCGGTATGATCAGGTTCGTATATGGACTTGGGTAACTGGAGCAATTTTTCTTCAACTTTAATACCCTCAAGTTGGACAGTGTAAGCCACTCTATCAAAATAAGGTAATGGAGTAGAAATTTGGATTAAGGGAGTGTAATTTAAGGGCAAAAACAAAGTAAAATTGGAATCGCCCAATAGTAAAACGCCGGATAAATCCGAACCCGAAATGCAATAAGAGAATTTTTTGAAGCCCATTTGGGAAACAAAAGAGAGGGATCCACGATTCATACCCATTAACCCGGTGGTCTTGGAATCCTCATCTGTGTTGCTACTAAAACCGGAATCCATGCACCCGAATACGGTATCCAAAAAGGTCGACCCGCCAATATTAAACGTATCCAAAGCAAGATTTCCTTCCGACGATGAAGCATCAGCATATGAGAGTGTAGCATGGCAGAGGTTCTTGGAATCACAGGAAGCCGGTATGGAGAAGTCTTGAGTCCGGGTCGTGCAAGTGGGTGAAGAACAAGATACAGGTGAGTAAGACGATGACCCGGTCGGGTCAAATACGGGTTTGTTTAGTCGAGTATTGTTGCAGTGTAGCCATGATAGTTCACTGCCTGTGTCGAGGACCATGGTGACATTCTGTGGAGGCGAGCCCACTGCTAACGACACTGTAAGAGTTACATTGTGAGTGAAGGAAAGCTTATTGGGACTTCTTGGGAAGGAACCGGATGGAATTTCTTGAGTTTTCAGTGGCAAAACAAGCATTTTCGCAGTAGCATTTGATTTCTTGATGACCATCGGATCTGCTAAGCAAAAGGAGAGGTGCATTTGGATTGACAAGATAAGAAAGTGTAACAATTTCATGGTTTTGTGAGTGCACTGAATGAAACAGTTATGTGAAGTTGAGGAGAAGTAAACTGCAGAAGATCTGAGAAATGGAGGTGGGATTGTCGGAAAAATAAAAATAGTCGAATCCCTTTATAATAAACGAAATAGATCTATACTGTAAGTCGTTGTCACACATAATTCCTATGAAGGGTCGAACTAACGACGTACATAATACTTAAATTTTTGAACGATGAGAAATTAAAAATGTTGTTTGTAATTGGGGGAACATAGGAGTGTGAGGAATCTTGAACTTTTGCGAACCGAATTACAAACTGGTGTGACTTTGGAATGATCTGGTAGTAGCAAAGGGACTGCAGCAGGGTGGAGCATGGGGACAAGGAACGACGACGTTTACTTGCTATGAGGCAATGGCATTGACTAGTCAACTAAAGAGTTCAAGGCTAATGTTTGGTCGGTTTATTAAGGATCTGGTGAATATTTAAATGGATTTCCTCCTTTCGATAAGGTTTTTTTATTATTTATTTATTTTTGGGTGAATGTACTTGTATAAATAATTTGGAATAATGCATGTCAATTGTACAAAGTCCCTTAAAAACGGGTACAAATTTCAGGACTTCAAAATTTTCCATTTTTTAAAAAACGGGTACAAATTTCGGGACTTCGAAAATTTTCCATTTTTATCTTAATTCAGTATGAATTGTAACTAAAAATTTCCTATGTCTTTTCATTGCTTATTTCAGTGCTCCATGTTCCCAACTTTATTTGGAGAAAATAAAGTAACGTGAGACCAACACGTAAGTATTGATCTTTGGACCGACGGAGATACAATAAAATATGGGTCATGAAATCTTGACATTGATCTAGCATATGAAATTCATACATAGTATGACATGGCAATAGGTTAGAGAATAAAATGTTGCAAAATTTATACTTTTGTTTCGATCCAATCATACGCCACATTCAAATTTATTAACTTACATCAATATTAAGTGAAGCTATAAAAGATGAATTTCACTCACTTAAAAATGAGGGGACAAATTCGTTTGCCTTTGAAATTTCATTTTTTTAAAATCTCAATACAATTATTGTAGTGAAAATTTTCGTTTGGCAATCTCTTTTTATATCTAAAACAATTCAAGAATAGCTGTCAATTCAATTCCTCTATTTTTATTTAGTTAAACACAGTGTTCAAACCCTATTCTTGAAATTGAGTAGTCTCTGACTCGAGTAAAGAGGTTTCCTTTTGTACAAACACAAGTTATTAATGTAGAACCATAACTTCAACCAATTATCTGCGTAACATTTCAAAAATTCTATGATGTTGGGGCCAGTAATGTCATAAAGTTAAATGAGTAGACATCTTCGTGCAATAATGTGAAGACTTTTTCATGGTACTTTACTATACTTGTAAATAATGTGATAATTAGCACATGTCATGTTGAACGAGGGATGGGCACAAAATAAAAGATGGGACCATTCAACCTTTTATGGAACTGACCAATTCTTGAAATAGCTCCACACGCTTAAATCTTTCTAATCTAATAATGAATTTAACTTTCGACAACCTAATCGCGTTAGGCTTGAAACTCAAGTAGACTGAATCACACGAATCTGTATTTAAAAAAAAAAAAAAAGAACTTATGTAAATCTACACAGAAAATCTTAAAAGTGTGTAGGTTCGAAAATATTTGATCCAACAAAATTATATCGTGCTAAAATAATTCTTTACACAAATAATCTAAAAAACTAAACTATTTATTGAAGCACAGTGCAATTTTTCTATAACAAAATAATTTTTTTTTCTAGTTTTTTCACTACATTTTGTAACATGGGTTGTGTTATGTGTTTAATACACTATTATCCATTTTCTACCATATGTTTACACTACGTCTGTCATTGCTACTCCCGCTATTACTACGACTACCGTTAGTTGTAATGTATCGTGTTACACCTTTGTTGACATCGCAACCACCATTACTATTAGATCCGTGTCATCACCATCACCTTATCCATGAACCAAGAAGCAGAATTGGGAGTGAGACATTGTGAGAAATTTCATTAAGAACATATTGTGACACTTCCAAACAACAATCCTTCTCTACAATAGAAATCACCATTAAACCATCAAAACAATCACACAATCACTACTTTCAAGGCACATAATTTTCTATCATGATAGCCAAACTCCTTGTTGACTATCTCTCTCAAAATTGCATCGTCATTCATGTACTATGTTGCATTGTAGAAGAACGATCGAAGATTGTGGCTAGGATTCACTAGATCTGCTTGTGTTTGGATGCATCAAATCCAATAATATATGAAATTACGAAAAAAAATTGACTTTATATTTAAAATTTGAAAAGTCAACATTTGACGTAATTTCTTCTAATTTTAAACATTGATAACTGACGAGCTACTTTAACAACAAGTCATAGTGGCCCGTTATGTCTCAATTATAGGAAAGCAAAAAAAAAAAAACATCTTATGGTATTGCAATTTAAGATTCAATTGGCAAAAGAAGAGAACACAAAATGAAACATGGACTAACGGCATAAGTGGGCCGAACAATAGATCCAAAACAGAACGAAAACATTTTGGACTTTTGGTGCCGAGGGCAGTTTTGTAAAATCCGGTTTAAGATAGTTCTCGATTCTTCAAGTGAGTTCCCGGAAACCCGTTCTTGACTTTAGTTTTTCTCTATATCTATATATATAGTTGCCATGGGGTAACAATTTCTTTTAAATTTTTGGCTTGCAGAGAAATTTCTTCTGTTTCTACCGAATACATTTGATATTCGTCGATTAGTTAAAAAAATGGCTAAAGAGACCCCTAATTGGGAAGGTCTGCTTAAATGGAGTCTCTCTCACTCTGATGGCACTGGTTCTGCTCGCAATTTAAGGTACCTGTTTATTTTTTATGCATGTTCTTGAATTTATCTTTTATGTTTGGACTGTAATGTCTGATTAAAAAAAAATAGCATTATTTTGAATTAGGTGTTTTAATTTCCTCCTGGGGAATTGTTTGTATCAGATTTGTGCAATTATTGATTACTGTTTGATACTTAATACTGCACATATAAATACATTAGATGCTATATGGATATGTTCTTTTTGCTGTTATTAGAGTTGAGCTATTGTTCCAATTGTGATAAATTTAAGGTTTAACTAATATGATTTTAATGGGTATAGCGAGGAGGATAGGAGATGGTTCATGGATGCTATGCAAGCTCAGAGTGTTGATGTTATTAGACGAATGAAAGAGATAACTCTTGTTATGCAAACCCCAGAGCAGGTCCTGGAATCTCAGGGAGTAACTCCGCAAGATATTGAAGGTACTAATTACTGGAAAAATATATTCTTTCGTTTCTCTTTGCTAATTATTGTTAACTTTTGTGATCAAGATTGAATGTTTACTGGTTTATGCATGCTTTTAGGTATGTTGGATGAGCTACAAGAGCATGTGGAGTCCATTGACAATGCCAATGGTGAGTTTGTTGGTTATATAATCTGTTTCTGGAGTGTTTCGAACTATTTTACGGCAGACTATCCAGAACATTTGAATTTTTATCATTGCTTTCTAGAAACAATTTTTATGTAAATAGGATGTAGATCTGCAACCAAACTCCCCTTTTTCTCTTAAGAGGCAAGCCCAGGATTTCATTTGCATAATGATGTCCCCTTTAATGGGAATTATATCTGCTTTTATTTTGTCACGGTGTATAGTTGGCTCAGGGATACTCTCCTTCTAGGGTTGGTATCGAGATTCACTTTTGGGATAGAAATGGAAGTTTTATGGCTAATATATGCAGCTTATGTCTGCTAAGATGGGAATATATGATTATGAAGAGTTTCTGTTATGGACAATAGAATGGTTTGATTTGATTTCAAATAAAGTAAAAAGAATATCAATGGTTTTCTTTTTTCAGACATCGATAAACAGTACTCAAGATCCTGTGGATGGTCTGAGTCCTTGGGTATTTGAAAAAAAGTGTGGATATATTTCTGAAGGTGAATAAGTGTAATCCTTGTTGGGAATCTACTTATACATGCACAGCGGAATTTAAAATATATTTCGATTCCCATCCAATAGATCTCATTGTGTTTGGTTAGGAATTGTGATAAGATTGTACCTTTTCCAGATCTGCAATCCTTTTGCTTTTCTTTTCGTTCCACAACTTTGATTCGCCACCACAGCTGTCCAATTGTCCAGTCTCCAACGGTGATCCACACAGAGAATTTGATTGCAGCATCTAGGGTTTTCTCTTGTGCTAGCAAGAATAATGAAAACCTTAATGGACCTCAAACCCTAGTTATGTATTTATATAAACCCAAATAGGCTCGGCCCGGTCCGGCCCGGCCCAATAATTAATTAATCCAATTAATTAAACCCGGTCCGTGAATTAATTAATCCAATTAATTAATTCGAAAATATAAATAACAAATCCAATTAATTAATTTATCCAACGATTGTTAAATTAACCAATTGGCAATTTGCAATCTTCCAATTCTCTTTTGTGTGTGACCCATTAGGTTCCCGACCACGATGCCTAACGACGTGAAATATTATTTTGATCTAATCAAAATTGATAAATTAAAACACCCCTTTTAATTTATCGTCAATTCACATTCGCCGTCCCTGATTGACATCTAGCAATGTGTCAGGGCAATACATGTGATGGGAAATGTCACGTGGTATGACAAAACCAAATTCGTTCGTTTACCGTGAAACTATAATCCCTTCGTCAATATGATC